TCTCGCGACCAAGCAACGACATCTTCAAATCGATCTTTGGTGACAGCAGCGATGAGGCTGAATGAAGTAAGTATCAACTGTCTTCGCTGAGACTGACGCCATGACGTATACCAGAAAGCCTAGAGCCATACTTCGCAGAGGGGCCTTGCTGGTATACAAAACCCATCACCTTCGACTTAGACTCTCAAGGAATATAGCAAGGTGTTTGCAGCACAGGACCGGAAGGGCTGGTGCTCCACATACCGGCTTTGGATGTATTCGCGGAAGCCGAGATACGGGGATTGACTGAAATGCCTCCGTAAGAAAATCGCGCTTTGAAAGTTCACAATCGTTTATACCACAGGGCCAACAATAGATGCCGATAGAGCTGAGGAACCTGGGGCATTCCAAGAAAGTGCTGCCATGCTCGGAATGATAATACACAGCGGGCAGGAACTCAGTTATGTCGGGCATAAAAGCACGGGCAATGCATTTGCTAGATGAGATGGGGAAACGACACTATCTTGGAACCGGGCGCCGCGGGCAATCTAGACTTCCTACTAGTAGTTTCTTCATACAGCTTTACACCTATGCCTATGTTTGTGCTATAGCTACCGTAGCGGTAAGGGAAGTCGACACTGCAGGTGTTCGGAGCGTCAGACTAGACTATCGGCATAGCACGTGAGGTCATCACATGTTATTTCGATGCATGAAAGCCCCGCGATAACATCCCAATGGCCAAGCATGTGTCTAATTACATGGTGACTTGCCTTGAATTTTGTTGGCCGTCATCTAGAAGGAAAATGGTTTTGAGGAAGGTAAGCAATATCTCATAACGATACCTGGGCTACGTCCATTTTTACGGGCGCGCTGGGCCTCCGAGGTGCGTTCGTTGGCTGCACCAACCATCTCCCTCCGTCAGCCTTCAGGTACCTAGTCTGGGTACAAAAGCAAGTAGTTCCCCACCCTCAAAGGGGTGCTCAAGCAACTTTGTAGTCGCAGTAAGAAAGCCCATAAACTGTTCCTGTTAGTCTAGGTGCGTCCTTCACTTACACGACGGTTCACTCCGTTTGGCCGATTCTCTTTACAATATAAGAGTTATTTTTAAATAAGACATAAGTATTATTAAAACTATATTATTTAGACTTATACTAGAGAAAGCTATGTAAATATTTAAGTAGTTATTATAATATTTAAATATAATATTATATAGTTTAGCTTTTAATTATTAAATCTTAGTATTTAATAGATAAAATACACATAAAATACTCTATATGAATCGAATTTGTAGAAGGAAAAAAACAGTCTAGTCTAACTTATATCATTAGCGTCATTTGTTTTGAAAACAACAATAATGAACAAAGCAAGCTACGATTTGCCATGCCTTAAAGCGGAGATCCGTCAACGGGTGACCACTCACTCCTGGGGTCCTTTAGTAGACTACTGCAGGCGCGTAGACGTAATACTGGGACTGACTGGGCAAAAGTGCTCTGGACTTGGGCTTGCCTCTTTGGTCACTACCTACCTAAGGTAAGGAAATAGCCGCCATCATCCCCTGCCTGTTCTACCTCATCAAACTGCCCCCCAACGACCAATTTCCCATCCACCATTTGCTCGGACACTCGCAATCAACCATTGGTTTCTCTAGGCCTAGCATACGCCTGCCACCCCTGCGCTTGCAAGGCGACCTTTACCCCGTTTCGCACTCGACTAAACGAACTAACCTTTGGCGAGCATCCCGTCGCTCTTCCTCTCTCCCTCTCTCTACACGTCTGTCCTTCGCAAACCACTTTGTTCACTGAACTCATCTTCGCCATCCGAGCTAGGAGCGGCACAAATAAAACATACGTTTGGCTTTCGCATTGGCGCCTGATTACAAACTCTGTTAACGAATGCCATCAATTGGAACTAGCTAAGAGGTCGAGTGGTGCACCCTACTTATTTGTATCCAACTACGATCCGATACTCGATACCTTGTCGAAACCGCCAACACGTTGCCAGGCTCGCAACACGTCAGGAACGGGCAGCCCGTGTCCGCCCGGCGTACAGTCACCGCCTCTGAAGAAGAAGATCCTCCTCAGCTACCAGCAAAGACCGAGCAAGAAAGTGCAGGAGAGTCCAGCCTCAGCGCCCCGTCACCTCTTCCTCCTCCTCCGCCTCCTCAGTATCCCTCCTCCGAAGCATCAACCTCCCGGCCGCCACCCTTCTCTTCAGTGTGCGATTCGCTCGAAAACCCCTCCGAACCGGCCCACGACCCCCGCTCTGCGATCACAGTCACAGTCGCTGGAATATCCCCTGCTGCACCGTCGTATGCATCTCTAGCTCCAGGCTTCTCTACAGAACAATCGGTTCCGACTTCCTTTGATCACGCTCTTACAGAAACAAAGCGTGCGCTCCCTCGAGACACCAAAGGGGGCTCATCCGGAAAGGACGACAACGCCGAACCACCCCCCGCATACTCGGAGGGACCCAGTCCACTCCAATCGTTTGCCTTTCTGATGGCTACCGCCGGAGGCGCGTCGAGTATCATTACTCAGGTGCAACAAGGAGGGCCGCCTATCAATGCGATTGGAGGTGAGTTGCTACTCGACCAGGACAAATCGAATAAGACTAACGTAATGGCAGATGTTGGTGCCGACGAGACGATCGCGATGGACCTTCGGTAGGGTTTGCTTCTACTCGACGTCCTATCCTGAACGCTAACCGTTGTGATCTGCAGGGGCACCCGATTTGTTCTGTCGCGAGACGAACTCTTGACGCTGCCCGAATTTGTCCTCTTATCGTTGTTCCCTAACGGCCTTTTCCCCGAGGGGCATATGGGGGGATTTACTGAGGGCGATGCAGTGCAAGTGGACGTGAGTACAAATTCTCACAGTGACCTACATAGTGCACTTTAATTATTGACAACTTCTCGGCAGTACGACCCGGCATCCCTGCAGTATATGCTGGACTTCTTTCGCACCGTTGCGCAGTCGATACCTGTTGACTCATCTCCGAGTGTTTCTCAGGAGGAGGATCCTGCGACGGGAGACCCAATGGGCTCACGAGACGACTCATCCAAGAGAGCTGGCATCATCGTTCTGAGAGAGGATCTTGACTTCTACGTCATACCACCGCGGGCCGAAATCACGCAGCCTGAAATGATGGAAGTCAAGAGAGCTGCGGGGAGAGCCCTTCTTCAACAGACGGGCATTTTCTCAGGTCTGAAGCGCAGTGATGAGCCGGGTACTACGGAAGCTCACCTCATCGAAATGCTCACAGCAGGGTAAGTTCCCCCGGCATGACAATGTCCGGCCCTTGACAAGAGCTAACCATTCACCAGCGGGTTCAACCATGACGACAACTGGGGACACAGAGCAGGAGAACCGAACAAGGCGGTCGTTTGTAGCTTAGCATTGGCACGCCTACGAAGCGATATCAGAGGTAATGATATGGGCAGCAATGCCGTTGGCATGGCGCAAAAGCTGCTCCTCTTTTGGAGGAAGCCTGCGAGACGCTGCTGGTGGGAAGGCGTGGAGCTTGACAACGTTGAGGGTATTGAGGGGAAGCTGAAGGTCTGGATCAGGCGCGTTTGGACCCTGGAAATGAGCGTAATCGGCCTCCGATGAGGCCGACAAGCTTGGCTACTATCTTGTGCGGCGAGAGGTCAGGAATGGGCGTAATGGTGTAGCGCAGCCTGGCTTTGTGGGCTGAAATATGGGTTTCCTTCCGTCTACTTCTTTCAACACATGCGCGAAATGGTTCGTGGGCTTCGTCGGCCACGCATAGGCAACATTCGTTTTCAATGGCGAGACCGCTATCTGAGGCTGATATTGAGCGTGTTCATAGGTGCGTCAGACCAAGCAAACATTAGTCATAGGTCAGTTCTTACATAATCAAACAGAAGCGTTTTCTTGATCATGACTGTCACTTAGATACGTGGGCTCATGATTGATACTTGTGAGGAACCCAGTAGTGACGTTCTCGTCATCGTCTTAACGGAATGGGCCATTGAATAATTTCAGGTGTAGTGACTTCAAGTCTATGTTGTCTTGGCTCGGGGCCGCTGCCAGCTGTGTTCTCAATCTGTCAGTATAGATGGGTATATAGTCTTCATCTAACTCCTGCTCATACTGTCGCATCCTTCACCCCACTGGGCTCCTGGACAATAAGGAGAAAATGCCTTGCACCTCAATGCTAGCTATGTTTTATTTGGAGACAGAAGCAGCCCTCATACGAAGGGGACATCGCACCTTCTTCCCCATAATCATTCACTTGGGGAGAATCAGCGTCAGGCACACTAATCAGCCCCCAATCCTAGCCAAGTTCCCCCGGCACAAACAAGTGTGGCATCATTTCTTGGCTGGACCGTCGGTCCAGGCTAAGTTTCAGTGCAACACAGGGTGGTCTTCCGTCGCAGAATAGTGACGCCTGCCTCTCCGCACTATAACAGCGGCTTCAGGTCCGATCCGGTTATTCGCCATACGGCCCTCTCTACATTCACCGTGCTTCTCCGTTCCAGTATGTACGTGTCCACTACCAACAGCATGAATTTCTTACTTTCTTTGCATATTCTTGCCGCCACTCAATTTTCTGTGGCCTTGGCCCAGGAGTGCAGAAATACGTTGAAAGCAACGTATACCTCGCCCATTGCTGCCGGTGGCTGGACATATCGCCTGATCGCGAACGGACTCACTCGACCCAGAAGCATACTTTTCGACAACCAGGGAGCTCTCCTGGTTGTCGATGCTAACTCTGGAGTAAAACATCTGAAGCTGACTGACGATGGCGGCACTTGCTTATCTGTGGCCGAGAAACGGACGATTATTGATTCTCCAGAGGTATGGCAACTCTAGAGGCCGAGTATGTGTAGCGAGCTTACTTGTTGTAATGTGTCCGGCGACCCAAAGTTGAACCACGGAATAGCCCTCTCCCCGGATGGGAAGACTCTGTATGCCTCGACCGCCGACAAGGTATATTCCTGGGCATACAATGGCAGTGCTGCCACCGTTGGCGATAGGAATAGGACACTCATAGCGAACATGAGCAATACCGATCATACCACCCGGACGTTACTTCTATCCAAAAAAAGTCCAGGCATACTCTTGGTGTCGAGAGGTAGCGCGTCCAACATTGACGAGGCTGCGACCCGCCAGTCGACTGGGCATTCCCAGCTTCGCGCCTTTGATATCGGGAGCCTCGGTGAGAATTCTGGACCGCTCAACTTCCCAACTGAGGGAAGGATGCTCGGCTGGGGATTGCGGAACTCAGTTGGCGTGGCAGAAGAGCCCGTCACAGGCGGTGTATGGACAGTAGAGAATTCAGCGGACCAGTTGAGGAGGAACAATGTTGATATTCACACTGACAATCCTGCCGAAGAACTCAACTTCCACGGGCACCTCAGTGATTCTAACAAGGATCAGGGCGGCAATTATGGATATCCAGGTTGCTTTGCTGTTTGGTCGACCGAGGGATTTCCCGATAAAGGCAACATGACGACGGGAGATCAGTTCAGTCTCAACCCATCACGCACCCTGAACGATACAACTTGCAATTCCGCCTATGTGCCCCCGAGACTATCTTTCCAGGCGCACACTGCTCCATTGGATATAAAATTCACGCCCGATGGCTCAGAAGCCTTTGTAACATTCCATGGCAGTTGTGAGTGGTGCCAGGGCTCTATTGTCCACATTTAGTCCCATGACTTACACCGGCCTAGGGAACCGAGACGAGGCAGTCGGCTACAAGCTATCTAGCATACGTTTCTCGAACGGAGAGCCTACAGAGTCAGCTGATAGCCGGACACCAATTACTGATATTTTAAGTAACGCAGACACCAGCAGCTGCCCTGACCACTGCTTTCGCCCGGTAGGACTTGCTTGGGACAGTCAGCAGAGACTCTTCATGACATCAGATTCGACGGGTGAAATTTATGTCCTTCAGCGGACCGATGTCTCAGTCTCGACCAGTTCTCCGGCCATCCCTGTTCCAACATCATCACCCGACGCTGCAGCAACTTTAGTCCCCTCCCGGCTCACCTCTTTTGGCAGCCTTGCGGTCTCAGTATTTGTTTTCATGGGAAGTGCGGGCGTGGTCAGGCTGATCCTTCTCTGAGATTCAGCTTCATATACTCTCAGTCTGGGAATGGCCGGGTTCAAAGAGTCAACAAATATTCAGTTGGTACCAAGAGTATGCTGCTTCATGTAATCAATGATCTACGGTGTGCAATCGACAGTGGCTTGTTAGTCTGGGTTTGTATCATCCGTAACGATTGATCCAACTCCAAGAAGACATGAAATTCACGAGTTCAAATACGTGATGACCCATTTATGCCCTATTTTGCCGCGAACGCCTCGCCTATGACGTTACATGGATGTCTGTATTATTCCTCGATGCTCTTGACACACTCCCACTCGCCTCTGAGGTTCTCCTTCCACAACGAGACCTTGTTGTCACCTCCGCTGACCGCGAGCACATTGCCGCTCAGAGACCAGCTGACTCTCCACACAGCTGCATCGAAGTTGAGGACCTTGCAGTTCCATTGTCCACGGCTCGACGAATCCGACGTCCAAATGCGAACCGTCTTGTCTTGGGAGGCTGACGCAATGTATGACTTCTGCAAGACCGTCGGCGACCATGCTACGTCACGAACCCAGTCTGTATGACCGGCAAGAGGCTCCTGCTCCTGCTTGTACGACTGCGATGCTGAATCGAAAACCCAAACTTTGAGCAAGTTATCACAGCCGCCCGTGACAAATCGCCTCACCCCAGCTGAACCAGGACCAGGAGAACTGCTGACAATGCTTCCAGGTGCCGTGGCTGGGGCCCATGAGACGGAGTTGACGCCCAACCCGTGAGCTGGGAATGTCACATGGTCGAAGCTGTTGTCGCGGAACTCGAGTATGCTTACGTTGCCGTCCGAAGAAGCGCACGCCAGGAGGCACCCAGACTCGTGTGGTGACCAAGAGACGATATTGACGGAAGCTTTGTGCAGAGCGAAATCGAAAATCTTCTGCCACTGATTATTCTGTTCCCTCCAGATGAAGACCTTGCCGTCGTAACCTGCGGAGGCCAGAATATTTCCATACTTGGGGTGCGCCCATGAAACGCACCAAACTGCACCATCATGTCTGCAACAGAGTCAGCAGGAGTAGTAGGCTCGTGTTTCTGAAGGTCTCGAATGTGCAATGCTTACCCTTTCAGGGTCTCGACAAGTCGTTGGGAGTCCCCGTCGATTTCGAATATTTTGATGGTGCGGTCGCTTGAGCATGTCGCAAGGCGACGTCCGTAGTAATCGAGGACGGCATCGTGCTGGTAAGGGTGGTGAAGTATTAGCCTAACCGAACATGTAGGACAAGGAGGCGGCCGCCAATCGCACATCATGACACAGGCGTCGATGGTATATATTTCCCCGTCTCGAAAACCACTGGGCGATTGGGAACGTGGGGCAACACTCGAAGAGACACTTACAATCATATCATCGTGGCCAGAATTCGATATGACCTGGGCAGACGCCTGCGTGAAGAGCCATGTTAGCGGAGCGGATTGCCAAGTATATATTGAGAAGCCATACCATTGCGTGAAGTAGAAGCTGGTGTAGTTAATCAAGGACTGCGCTCATTCAGGGCATCTAATATGGGCTGATGCGGGAAGGTCGAGAGCTGGGTAAGACTTGGGTATATGTTGAATGGCAGACTGGACGGCGTCACTGTAAGTGCCACCTAAGGGAATCGAAGCTCCCAGCTGGCCTTAGCCCAAGCTTGAGATCCAATTTGGCCAACGGGATGGGGCCGTGTTGCAGGACCACCAGTAGGGTGTTCCGTATGAGGAAGGCGGTGGGATAGACTTCCCGTGACCTGAGTCTCGTGACTTCCTTTAGATTGACGGCTAGGAGCTTCCAGTTTCTTGCACGTGAGACGTCTCCCCTCCCCCTCCCCCAGCTCCGGTCCCGTTAACGGGGTGGGTGCCGCGCTGACGCAGAGGTAGTGTGCGTACAAGCCGATGCCGAGGTAAACCGAAGTGAGAGTCGATGAAAGCCTCATTACTGCCTACCGACCCATGAATAACAGACAACGTTGCGGTACTTTTCTCTACAGTGCTACTCCATGTACCCGGCTACCTTGGCGCTCGACGGAATAATTTACCATCTCAGTCGACACCTTTACTCGACGCGCCATAGGCTTCTGCTAGAACTGTGATCAGCCTCAAACACCAAAGGCCACACTCTTCAGACACCACATGCAATTTGAGTGCGCACTCGAATACTGTACATCCTAAGCACTGGAACCATTGATCATTTCCCGTACGAAGCCATCGCAGGCGCCCTCATAATGGCTGACAGTTCCTGTAGCGGCTCTACGCCGTTCAAAGGCCTCGTTGACCATGGGGCCCAAGATCGAAGTCTGCACCGAGATCGGTTTTCCAGTACTCCTAGTCTCCAGCAAGTAAGGCCTACAGTACCGCCCCCGTGCTCTCACGCAGTTCTCCTAACAATGACAGGGCTTTCGATCCACAAGTCAAACCGTCTCGGCGCCGGCTCAAGCAGGCTTTGGCGAATTCCTCGACTCCAACGGGGCTGGGCAAGTCAGCATAAACACTCCCCAAACTCTCAACTCGCCCGCATCAAGCTTCCCTCGAGGGTTGCAATCATTCCAATCATCAGCGGCCCCTGCCAGTCGAATTATCCCACCCAACCTCTACCAATCTACGTCACAAATTCCGACAGCTTCTCGGCAAAATGTGTCTATGGCGTCGCCACCGAGGACATCGAGTTGGGCACAAGATTTTGCATCATTCTCTAGGGCACCGCCAGGTGCTGGAAACTACACAACAGGGTTTTCTTCTTCGCAATATCCAGCGCCTGTAGCCGGATTTACGCAGAATATGATGGGGTCGCATTTAAGACCTTGGTTATTCGGGCCTCAAGGCGGTTCTGTAACCGCCACAAATCACGGAGTTACAAACACCGAAGCTGACTTTGATGTTGAGATGAATCGGTGGATGGCGGCCAACGGAGACGGACAGATGGAGGACCTCGACACTGTTATGGAACAACTCGCGCGAGAACTGGAACAAGAGCAGCAACCAGAGGCCGCTACACAAGCATCCAGAGATACCACCGGCAGCTCTGTGGATACTTTCACGACCTCTCTATATGTTTCTGTCCAAGATGAAGCACAAGGAATACAAACATTCGATGCTACAGCTTCAACAAACCAACAAATACCCGGCGCATCCTCGGTCCTTGGGATTGATGCCATCGGAGTATCAAAAAGAGCGAGTTTTCCAGACCACATGCCTGACTTGGAACGTCTAGGGCTCGACGAAGCGGAGCAAGCATCTGCAGAACATGTCCAGTCAACATCTGACATTTCGGAGGCAGCGAGACAGATACTTGACTCGGTTCAACATGAACAAGGAGACAAATGGAAGAATTCTCGGTTCTTATCACTGATGAAAGACTTTCGGGATGGAAACAAAGACATCGTCAACAACGAAATTCTCGAAACCAAAGTTGGCAGCGAGCGAATCGGCCGGAATTGACCTCGAGAACTCCAATGCTCCTAAACACCACCCAACCACGTTGATATCATGGCTAATGTCAACCGCAAAGCCCGGTACAAAAGCCGTTATGTAAGGGGTCATCGCGCAAAGACGGCATTCGGCGTTGTTGTATGTAAAATGAATATTACAGAACGCTGTAGCAAATATCGTTGACACAGCTATAGACCACTTGATGCTCTAGCGATCCGGTACCGTTACGTATGATACGACGAATCGTCATCGAGAGACTTCCAATAACAGGCAGGGCTTATGATTACTGGCGTAAAGAGGACGCTGGAGATCGCATCGAGACGACAGCGAAATTGATGCTGCCCTGGCGGCGACGCGAAATGTCGGTCGGTCGGTAGCTCTAAGGCTTGTTGGTGGGATTTGAAGTACAAACGTACATGGCACGAGGAATTTAGCAACCTGTGATTCTGCCGAACTACAACATCGGGGTTGGGATTACAAGAGGAATAAGTAGGGATAGATATGCAGACGCTTGCGAGCCTAGATCGAGTTACCGTACCTTGTATTTAGTATCCTCCGCTTACGAGGGAATATAATCATCTTGTTTGTTTACTCGATAGTCCAGATGTTGGATTTTTAATGTGTGAATTGTATAAACTACAGCCGAGAATGACAAGCGGCACAAACAAAAACAATAAGCGACGAGGAAAATGGATATTGCTGAAGGAAATGCACAAAGTGTACCGTGATCCCTCCAATTCATCCAGTTGTGCCTTAGTGGTCTGTGAGGAAACAGTTCAGGATCGACCAAGGGCAATGCTCTTCCAGTGGTCACGCTCCTCTTCAAGCTTACGAATCTTCTCTTCCAAATCTTCAAACCGCTGGGCCTTACGCTCGCGAGACTTGCGTGCAGCGAGTGTGTTGCGGGCACGCTTCATAGCAGTGGTATCACTAGGATCCTCGACAATGATAGGAGGCAGCGGTTTGTCTCGTCGACGAGAGCTCACGCCCGAGACTGAAGAGTGACGGGCAGAACTAGTTGGGGAAGAGTTGACAGACTTCCGGCGGCCCGAGGTTGAAGTGAACTCGACCACCTCCAGATCGTCGCCTTTGAGAGCGGGAGACTGATCAGTCTGCAGTTTCTGGATCTCCTCGATACCGGTGACGTCCTTTGTGACAGCGGTAGATTCCTGGGGAAAGAGGGGAAACCAAGGATCACCAGCAGTGGTGTCGAAATCTGCCGACCCGAAGTCGCCCGAGTCAAAACTGGGGGAAACATCGTAACCGTCGTTAAAGTCAGGAGACTCATTGTAGATCGAAGGCGATGTCAAGGCGGTCAAAGCTGTTGAGTTGGGAGCAGACATGAAGGGCTCCTGAATGAGAAGGTCATGAGGAGACACGGTGCCCAGGGTGCTAGGACCGACATCGAAGACCGAGGGCATGGCTGGCGACGAGTAGGTGGTAGACGCACCACCCTCGAAGCCGGTGAAGTCGTCAAGGTCAAGGTCTGTAGAGACATGTGAGCACAGTCCTGGGCGAGACCAGAGTGTGAGCGGTTTACCTTGAATATCCATCTTGTTGGTTACGCCCTGAGTACTTTGAGCGAACAATGGTACAGGAGGACGCTGACGGCGGTTCAGAGCAGCTGAAGACGACGGAGCGGATGAAGCGTAGAATTGAGCTGACTGAGCGGGGGAGCACACTGAAGGTGACCGGGAATTAGATCCGGAAGCTTGGATCTGAGCAAGACGATGCTTCTGTTGAAAATGGACGCGACCTTGTTGGTTCTGTCGGAGATGATATGACGAGTGGCGACGTTGGTTCAAACCGATGGCGGTATGGGTTGCCAAGTGTCTAGGTTGACTGGTACGAGGCTGATCGAACAAGACGAAGTCCTGCTGGGGAGACTGTTCCGGTGGGCTGAACTGAGGCTGTTGCGCGGGTTGTGCCGGCAGGCTGGGTGAACTGGAGGGAAGCCATGATGATTGGGAATCCGTTGTGAAGACTGAAAAGTCTCGAGGTAGAATGTTGGCGGAGGCGGAACTTAAGCTAGAGCTGGAAGCCGTAGTGTAGTTCAGGTCGACCTGGGAAGGTTGAGCTGAAGTGAAGAGCGGAGAAAAGTCGTGAATTGTTGTAGACTGAATTTTGTTGAGCTTTGAAGCGGGATCGAACTGAAGACGATGATTTAACGCATTTTGGCGGGGCTCTATGGCTGAATGATTCTTGATTGTAGTTTGGAAGATTGTGGTGGTGAAGAGGAAAGAGGAAAAAGGTATATGAAAAATTAGGCACGGAGGGATTAGCGAGCTTTTGTAGCCTGAAAGGCAGCAACAGGCCAAACCCCCCCAAAAAGGGCGGGTGGTTGTGGGACGGCACTTCCGGATACGCAAACAGGGCGAAGGGCGCAGTTGTCGAAGCCCTGTTGTCTAGAAGGTACAGCGGGGCTTTGTATCCCGCCATGTCATTAAGCGCACGGATCGGTCTTCAGATCGCAAGTGCGCTACCTAGACAGAAGTACCACCTCCAGATGGAGCGCAAGGCAGGCAACTGCGCCCACAGGAAGGAAGTGGTACCCCTGCACGGAATGAGAGTGTGAGTCACACTTTCTGATGCTAAGCCTGATTCGGCTTGACCGAGCGCACGGGACGTTTGCTCTGATTGGTTTGTGACGATGGCAGGCAGAATACAGTGCGGACTAAAGGCATTGCTCCAACAGCAGCCAATGATCAACTCCGATAAGTAGTACGATGAGGGGCATCTTCTTCGCTTAAGCACCTAGAGCTTCCGCGCTGCGCTGACATGCGGAATTTGCTCTAATAACGTACCGCTCAACTCCTACTGTTTACCTGTCGATGCTCTTGCCATACCGACACAGTAATCCCACGGACCGCAATCCAATAATGCTGGAGAGTTCCACAAGTCTCAAGCCGGTACATATTTGTGGAAGGAGTCAAAAGTCTCACAGGTGCTTTGCTTTAAATATTCTATGTTCACAAAGCAATGGCGTGGAGGAAAGATGGGGTTTGTAACATGCATTTCCTTCCGTGTCAGTGAGGATGGCTTGCGACCGACCATTGGCGACCTGAAACACGACCATTTCAACCTACAACGATTCCTCCGAATCTGGCTGCAGTCTGACGGTTCAGTCAAAAAAGTACTCCAGCAGGAGTTACTTCAGTTTCCTGCATCTCCCTCGCACAGTGCCGGTGAGACTATTAGAGTACCTGGATAGGAGCCTGGCTGCAAAGAGCCCACCGACATGGCCGTCAGTACGAAAGATGCCGTAAAAACACTTATTTATTTTTATATTCTGCCTTTGCTAGTTACTCAGGCGGTTCTCGACATTGATTGTATAGTATTAATACATTCCCCCGACGGAGCAATCCGCCGGGGCCGTACTATATAGTACGTATTAAGGAAAACTAAGTATATTACGCTCTATACCTAATTACTAATTAAAACTCCTAACCTTCCGCCGCTTTTAGGTATTTATTAAGTAAGCTTTACTTATTTTAATATATATAAAACTTCTTAATCCCCCTAATAGAGTAATCTACTAGGGCCGTATTATATATACTTTATATATTTTTATAAGAGATTAGGTTATAAATACTTAATTAATAAGGGTATAATATAAGTATAAGTATATTATAAAACTAAAGCTTATAAAGTCCTTTATATAAGCTCTATTTTATAAAAAAATCTTTTATAATATAATTTATATATTAATTACTAACATATTAATAACTTATTATTAAATATTTATTTTAATATTCTACTTTTACTAATTACTCGGGTAATTCTTAATATCTATTATAGCTAGCTAGTTATAATAAGTATATTAATAAAAATTAAGGCTACGAATACTAAGTAAATAATATTATAGTTATAAATAGGTTTATTAAAATTATATTTATAAGTTATAAAATAAATAAAGCTTTAGTAATTAATTATAGTTTTATTAAAAGGGGTTTTTAGTAAAAATAGCTAAAAGTAATTATAAAATTTAATATTAAGTTAATTATTAAAAAAGCTATAAAAAGTCTATTTTTAAGCCTAGCTTAAGTCTATATTATATATAAGTCTCGTTCTTAAATATATTTTTTATAATATTCTTATTTATTATTATTTAACTATTTACTAAATAGTTATCTATTTTACTTATTTATAATCGTCCGTTTTACTTATTTATAAATATCCGTTCTTTATTTTATTATATAATTATAGTTACGTAACTTATTTATAGTTTTTTTATTTTAAGAGGAGTTACTTTAAGTTTATATTTTTATATATATAGTATAATAGTTATTATAAGTTCCGTAGGGTAGGACCCTAGCCTTATTATATATATTAAGTTATAATATTAGCTCCTCTTTTTAAAAATTTAGTCCTCTAGGCTTATAAATAAGTCGTTTATTCTTAAGTTAGGGAATCGTTAAGTATTTTTTTTTTAAAATATACTAATATAATATTAAGTTAAATTAAAAAATCGAAATTTTTAATAACTACGTCTCGTCGTAAATTACTACGTATTATTCGTTTTTTTAATAAAAGTATAAAAATAATACTTTATTTAAATTATTATTTATAAGGTATCCGTTATTTAGTTCTTTTTAATTCCGAGGTCTATAAAATATACTATTATTTAAGTATTTTATATAGTGGTTTTTTTTCCGGCTTTATAAGCGCAAAAGATCGACTTTAACGGGATTATATTTTTAAGGGAAATTATATAATATAGTATACTTTTTAACTATATAATACGTATAATATACCCTAAGTACGCGCTTAATATAATATAGTAATTTTAATATAAAGATTACTATATAATTTAAGATAAGTAAGCTACTTTTTTTAATAGTAGCGCTAGTTAAAAAAGTTAATAATAAAGGTCGGCTATAATAATTAGTTATAATAATTAGTTATAATAGTTAGAAATAGCCTTTTTTAACTATAGAGGTTTTAAACTTTAATAATAATATAGAGGTTTTTAAAAAAAAGGGCTAAATAAGCTAATATTTATTACTTAGAGCTTATAAAAATTCTTTTTATTTTTATTACTTTTAATATTATTTAAAACTACTTTCTATTTAAACTAAATAAATTTATTAAATAAATTTATTAAATAAACTTATTAATATATAAACTACTATTTTAATAAGAACCTATTTTATTTTTAGTATATAATTAGTAATTAATAAGTTAGAACTTTTTAAAAATACTTATTAATAAGTCTACCCCTCTTAAGCTAAGTACCCTTTTTAACTAACTTAACGCTATAGTTATTATAATTAATATAAATATACTTAAAAATTAATAAAGTACTTTTTAATAATATAAAATTTAGCTAAGTAATAATATAAATACTATAAATAATTAAATTAATATAAATATTAAGATTTAGTATATTAATATTAATTTAGAAATTATATTTTATAAAGTTAAGAATCTTTTTAATACGGGCTATATTATAAATATAAAGGAATATATAAGGGGCTTTTTAATTTTTAATAAAAAGGAGTATATAATATAAGATTTAGTTATTTACGTAAGCTAGTATTAAGAAGTTTTATATATATTAAAATAAGTATAGCTTACTTTTTAAATAAGTAAAAAAAGGTCGGGAGTTAATAAAAAGAAGATAATAGTCGAATTAGTTAACTATTTTAATTAGTAATTAAATATAGAGCGTAATATACTTAGTTTTCCTTAATACGTAATATATAGTATAGCCCTAGCGGATTACTCTATCGGGGGGATTTAAGTATTTTATATAATATGTTTATGAATACTATTTATATTCGTAAATATTATATTTTTATTTATTAAGTTCTAACTAATTAAATATAGTTAGTTAATTAGTAACGGAGTCTAACTATTTTAATTATAAAAAAGAAATAAAAAAGTCGTAGTTTTAAAAAAGACCTACGGAGTTATAAAAAAAAGCTAAGGCTTATTAATAAGCCTAAGCTAAGTTAAATAAGTTATTATTTAAGTTAGAGTATTTTTATTTTTAAAAATAAATAATATTTAAAAAGAGTCGGATTATATTAGAGGAGTTTTTTAAAGATTTTAAAAATACTTCTTTAGTAATTTATAAAATATAAATTAATAATATTTTTTAAAATTATTAATTAAAACACTATAATAATTAAGAGTTTTAGGTTTAATTTTAACTTTAGTACTTTTTAAAAAGTTATTAAAAGTTCTAAAAGTTCGTAATAAGTTCTTATATATTTTTTTTATATCCGTAATTTTTTTATTTAATAAAGTATCCTTTTTTATTATTTTTTATTTTATAATTAATAATTCGTTCGACTTTATATTCTAATTAGTTTAGTTTAATAATAATATAATTTTTTATATATAAACTTCTTAATATAGGCTCGAGTAATAAAACGTAAAAAATAAAGTAGTATCGTATTATATTTAGTAATTTTAATTCGTAATTAATTAATAAGACTTTTTTAATAATTTTAAAAAGTCTAAGTTTTTTATAGTTTAACTTATTACTTAATTATTTTATTTTAATATTATAATAAAAAAAATAGGTACTATCCCCCTTTTTTAAAAATAGTCCTCTAATCCTTAATCTATTTATATTTTTTTTTATATATTATTATATAAACTCGAGGTTTAATAAGGCTTATTTATAAATTTCCTTAAGTTTATTTACGTTTATTATAGCTTTTATAAGTTATAATCCTTATTATACTTCTTTATATATTACTAATTAAAATCCGTAATTAAAGTAAAATAGGGATTTTTTTATACTTTTACTAACTATATTATTATATATAAACTAGGTTATTAATAAGAATACTATTTAATTATCTTAGTTATACTTTATATAATAATAAAAGTATATTTTAAGGATCTAATTAATCCTTTTTATCTATCTATTAGTTTATAAATAAAATAATATTAATAATTTATAATTTATACTAAGTTACGAAATTAGAAATTTTTAAAATTTTAAAATAAATTGCTTATTTTTATTTAAGATAATTTCTTTTAAATTAGAAATTTTTAAAATTTTAAAATAAATAGCTTATTTTTATTTAAGATAATTTCTTTTAATAAACCGTAGTTTAAGAATATAATCTTAATAAATATATATACTAAGTCTTTTATAGTACTTAATTCTTTATAAAAAATAAAATGCGCGAACTTAGTAAGTTAATTAACTATAATTAAAATACTATTATATTATATTTTAATAAATAATTCTCTAAACTTTAATAGTTTAATAATAAAGTCTTATATAATTAATTATTATATTTTTATTAGTAATTATAGTAGTTATAGCTTATTATAAGGCTTATATAAACTATTCTTATTTTTTTTATAAATTATATAATCCTTAATTATTTTTATAATTTTAGTATATATAGCGGATTTATTATAGTATCAGCAAATCCGTTTTTATATTTTAATTACTCCTTAATAACTATATATTAGTATATTATAAATTTTTATAATAAACTTAGGGTTTTTTTTTAATTAAGCTAGTATTTATCCTTTTAGCTATTATAAAAAGCTTTATAATTAATATAAAACTACTATCCTTTTCTTATTTAAAAATAACTTATATTTCTTTAGGGACTACGACTTCGTAATTAAGCTTTTTATTAAGAGCGTTTATTTTACTATTTTTAAAATCTTTTTAATAAATAATTTAAAAATTAAATTTAAATAAGAACTCGCTCTATTTAACTTATTATTTATTGAAATTCTTATTTATTATAAAGTTTATAAAATCTTTATAGTTTATATAAACTATAATTTTATACTTAGTTCTAAATAACTATAGTCTCTATTTTTAAAATACTTTAATAATTATTATTAGTTCTTTATTATAAATTTATTAATTTAATTCCGCTCTATAAAATACTTTAAAATAGAAATAATATAAATAAAGTTTTTTTTATTTATTTTATTATTTTAGAACTATTTTTATAGCGAAATTTAAGGTATTAGTTTTAATTTTAAAAAGTTTTTAGGGATTTAGGATTATAATAATTAGTTTAAGAATAACCATATTCTTAACTTTAATAAATACTTTTTTATATTTAAAATCCTAAATAAATAGGGTATCTGTTTATATTAAGTTATTAAGAAGTTTAATTATATTAATATAATCCTTAAAGAATTATTAATAAAAATTAACGAATCCTAAGAATCTTTATACGTCCTTAACATTTTATAGTATAAGTTAGTCCCTAATTACTTCTATTTTTAATACTTATATATAAATTTATTGTAATATAATAGTATATTTTAAAAAATATATTTTTTATATATAAAACTCGTACTTAGAGGGTTTAGTATATAGTTTAGTATTTTAGAGTTTTTAAAATACTATATAAATATATTTCTTATATATTTTAAAATTAAAGGAAAAGATAAGGATATTATTTATATAAATAATAATAAAAATATTAACGTATTCTTAAAATACGTAGTTAATTATCATTTAAAAAGTTATTAGAGTATTAATAAGTTTAAAGGGTATAATAAGATATTTAAAGAGTCCTTTATGAGTTTAGAACGCCGTTTTTTATTCGTCTTTTTTTTTAATTTAAATTTAGTTAAATACTTTTTTAAAGTTTATTTATTTTAATATCTTACTTTTATTAGCTACTCGGGCGGTTCTTAATATCGTTTATATAATATTAATATATAATATTAATAAATACTCCTACTATCTCGTTAGATTTTTTTTTTTAAATTTTCTACTTTTTTAACTTTCCCTCTTATAAAGTTTATAACTACGGATTATTAACAGCGATAATAAGCGCTACTACTTTATAAGCCTACTCTATACTTAGCTAAGTTAGCTACCCTTCTAAGTATAGTAGCTTATAATAGTAATATTAGAGATACCCTCGTTACTATTATTAAATAATATCGACTTTATAATATTTACTTAATACTTTCAACTTTAATTTATATATATATATATTCGTTACCTCGATTTTTTTATTAAAGTTAAAAACGCTATTTTTTTTATTATTATTATTACTATTATTATTACAATCTAACTATCTATTTTAAATATACTTTATTAAAATACCGAAATATTATTAATAACTTATTAACCCTTAGGGCTTTTTTAATAGCTAAAAGTTATTTAATTTTATAAGTATTATATTAAACGACCCCGAGCTATAAAAAAACTACTTTAATAAATATTATATTAGTAATATTAATTTATAATAAGTAAATAAATATATTATAACAAGCGTTGCCCTTATTAACGCCTTTTTAATATAATAAAGTAATATAAATAAGCCTAGATTTAATAATATAATTAGGAGCTTAGAAAGAGTATAGTTAAGTATATTAAATAAGAATATTAAAGAGAGGTTATTATTAAATAAAATAAAAAGAGAAAATAAGGGGTAGTATTTAGTTATTAAGAAGGTAATTAATATATTATAACGGCGGGGTTATTAATATCTTAAGTTTAGTTAGTATTAATAGTTACGGCCCGCTATAGTTAGTTATAAAGTTTTATTAAAGTACGTAATAAAAATACTTAATATTAACTCTAATAAACTAGCTTACTTATAAAGGTAAAAATGGCCCCTAATAAGGCGGACCGGACCCCAAAGGGGGGTTTTTTTTTTATTAATAGCTCCTAACCTTCCCCCGCTTCTAGCTATTTAGAGGGTAAGTTATACCTATTTTAATATATATAAGACCTCTTAGTACTAACCTATATAAGTAGCTAAATCCTATATTATATACTCCTTTTTATTAAGGGTTAGAGGGCCCCTTATATATTCCTTTATATTTATAATATAACTTATATTAAAGGGATTTCTAATTATATAAAATATAATTTTTAAATTAATATTAATATATTAAATCTTAATATCCGTATTAGCCTAGCTATTTATAATATTTATACTATTACTTAGCTAAATTCTATATTATTAAAAAATACTTCGCTATTTTTTAAATATATTTATATTAGTTATAATAGTTATAATATTAAGCTAGCTAAAGAGGGTGCTTAGCCCGAGAGGAGTAGACTTATTAACGGGCATTTTTAACTTACTAATTACTAATTATATATTAAGAGAGCAAGTTCTTATTAAAATACTATTTTAACTAGCTAACTTCTTAACTAGTTATCTAACTAGCTATCTAAGTAATAGTTTATATATTAATAAGTTTATTTAGTAAATTTATTTAATAGCTTTATTTAATTTAAATAGAGCTTTAGGTAATATTAAAAGTAATAAGGATAAAAAAAATCTTTATAAGCTCTAAAGAGTAATAAATATTAGCTTATTTAGTCCTTTTTTTTAAAAACCTTTATATTATTATTAAAGTTTAGAACCTCTGCAGTTAAGGGCCGCTTTTAACTATTATAACTAACTACTATAGCTAATTATTATAATTAACCTTTATTATTAACCTTTTTAACTAGCGCTACTATAAAATATCTTACTTATCCCGAATTATATAACGGTTTTTATATTAGAATTACTATATTATATTAAGCATATACTTAGGGTATATTATATATATTATATAATTAAAAAATATACCGTATTATATAATTTCTTTTAAAAGCGTAATCTTATTAAGGTCGATCTTTTATGCTTATAAAGCTAGAAAAAAACTACTATATAACTACCCTAATAAGCTACGTAGTACTATTATTACTAATAGTCGATATATTCGTATTATTTAGTTAGTTTTTTTATAAAATAAACTTATTAAATAGGAGTAATTAAAATATTATAACTAATTAGTTCCCCCCGACGGAGCAATTTACTAGGGCCGTACTATATATTACGTATTAAGGAAAACTAAGTATATTACGCTCTATACCTAATTACTAATTAAAACTCCCGACCTTCTCCCGCTTCTAGCTATTTAGAGGGTAAGCTATACCTACTCTAATATATATAAGACCTCTTAATACTAACTTACGTAAATAGCTAAATCTTATATTATATACTCTTTTTTATTAAGAATTAGGGGGCCCTTTATATATTCTTTTATATTTATAATATAGCCTATATTAAAAAGATTTTTAGTTTTATAAAATATAATTTTTAAACTAACGTTAATATATTAGATTTTAATATCTATATTAACCTAGTTATTTATAATATTTATATTATTATTTAGTTAAATTTTATATTATTAAAAAGTACTTTACTAATCTTTAAGTATATTTATATTAATTACGATAGTTATAATATTAAGTTAGTTAAAGAGGGTGCTTAGCCCGAGAGGGGTAGACTTATTAACGGCTATTTTTAGAATAATAGTTTATATATTAATAGGTTTATTTAATAAATTTATTTAGTAGATTTATTTAGTAGATTTGTTTAGTTTCAATAAAGAGTAGCTTTAAGTAATATTAAAAGCGATAAGGATAAAAAGAATTTTTATAAGCTCTAAGTAGTAAATATTAGCCTATTTAGCCCTTTTTTTTAAAAACCTCTACGTTATTATTAAAATTTAGAACCTTTATAGTTAAAAAAGGCC